GCTTGAAATTAAAAGAATTAATTATTTATGAAAGTTACATTAAGTTTGCTTTTTCTTTTTTTTTTTTTTTTTTCTCTTTTACAGATATTAAATTTGCAAAAGAAAAATTATATTATATTGTTATATTGTAGAAGCAAGAATAAGTTGGAACGTAAAATTTTCGAGATTTAAAAGGAGTAGGAGGGAGAAAAAAAAAAAAAGAAAAAAAAATTTTTCAACAATTTCTTATCGAGCGATAGCTTGTCGATAGCTTCGTCGTAAAATGAAACGTAAAATGTCGTTGAAGAAAAATTGTCAACTTTCCAATCAAACCTTCCCCTCGAACTGAATTTAAATCAAAATCCTCAAACATACCCACCCAAGATTATTGTTTTATTATTTATCTATGCGAATAAAATTGACTTAAAAAGAATAGATAAATAGAGGTAAAAATCAATCCCCCGATAAAGAAAATTCCCCATCAGCGTGAATAAACAGTCGAAAAAATGATCGTGTTAGTCGGAAGCGGATTACACAAGAACGCGGTGCTCCCTCCCCGAAGTGCGCAGATTCTCTCTTAAGCCGGAAGAAAAACAACCTTGGCATGTTCGTCCGTTGTTCCGTCCATCCGTCCATGAACAGAACCAAAGCTACAAGAGAGAGAGAGATAGAAAGAGCGAAAGAAAAATCCGCGGCTAGACATGCGATAGCAAATGGAGCAAGGGTAACTCTCTGTTGGCGATAACAGGTAGCAAGGAATAGAGAATAAATAGAAAGAAAACAGAAGAATAGCCGAGGGAGAGCCGAGGAAGACCGTTCCCTTTTTCTTTCTTTTCTACGCGCAACAGTCTTCTTGCTCGCTCTTCTCTGTCAACTAACCATTCACGTTGATCAAAGGAGGGCCGAACATGTAGTGGCCGGGGTACATGTAAGGCTGAGGAATCGCTGGTATCACGTGAGACACGTGTACCGGTTGCTGCATCAACATCGGTTCAAAATAGGGGCCGCCACCGTTCTCCAACGGTTGCTCCTCCGCCTGCTGTTGCTCCTCCTCCCCGTATCGCTCCTCCATTCGCTCCTCCATCTGCTCCTCCATCTGCTCGTCCGCCCGCTCTTCCTCCTTCGCGTTGCTAAACTCTATGCCTTGTTCCTCCGTCTCCCCGGCCATACTACCGCTGCAACTCGTGCTACCTGTCCCGCTCTCGTTGCTCATTCCATTCGAGTTCTCCGTTGCTAGAATCGCGTTCCCTTCCTCTTCCATCACCACCCTACTACTCTCCATACTTTGATTGTTCTGCAAACAATAATAAGGCGTTGAAAATTTCCTTCGAATAATTGTTCATTTTGTTTATGATAACGAAATGTTTCGATCAATGTTATATTAAAGAAATAACAGGAGATACGTTGTATACTTTGCGTTGTGCGATCCATGATTCCACATTATTTTCCTAAGAAGAGTTTTATACTTGTCAAGATTCAATAGCTCTCCGATTGGGCATTTTATTCATCGAATTCCTCAAACGTTAAACAGATTTCTATATAAATATATTATTTCTTAATCATCCGTATTAAATGTCAATTAATCATTAATAATTTAATCCATATCTTACCAACATCTCATTTTTTTTTCTTTATCTAGAGATATATATATATGAATATAATCAATTCAGTTAATCTCAAATTCTTAGATTCCAACATATCGTCATAGCGATGTTTGACTATTTATCCGATAGCAATGAACATTGAACGTACCTCGTAATTCATTATACAATACGGTTGATCAGGCAGTTTGGGCACGTAAGTTGGATTAATCCATTCAATGGGCCTAAGAGGCACAGGTGCACAAGGCACGGCCGCCAAAACACTCGGTGCAACTTGAGATTGCATCGGTGCTGGACCAACCAACATCACAGGATATTCGTAATAGTAACCACCCATGTGGTCATAAAACGTCCCATAGCCCAATTGGGCGCTGGAATCCATCACCGGTGGATACTCGCCGGTACCACAGTCCCTGTCTAACAATTGTTGATCCTCGGTCGTTTCGCTACCATCTGTAATTGATATATACGATAAGTGTCAAAGTCAAACAAGGAAGCAAAAAGTTAATGTTCAACATGGATGATGCGCAAAGGAAAACGGATATATGGCATGTAAGTTTCGATCGAAAGCCGTGCAATTGCTTTTCAATCCCTTTAAATAAACTTTCTTTGATGGAAAGAAAAAAAAACGAGATTTTTAACATTACGCGCGTGTGTACAATGTTCAACGAATTCAATAGTCAAAGAATTAATCGAATTGTACGTTTCGTTATATATATTTTTTAACATTTTAAGGAGGATTGGACATATAGGAAAATTTAAGATTCTCGACAACTGATAGACATCGGTATATTCACGATTATCGCCCGTTTCACAAAGCATTACAGTTTTCAATTGTTTATACAACATGGATACATCGGATATGTATTTCATAGATAAGATGAAACGAATAAATACTCGTGATTGTGCGAGCAACAGGCGATCGGCGTTTAGGTTGGCAACGAAACGATCATGTATCGATACTGACCGTGTCAATCAATTGTTCTTCGAATTCTTATGAAATTTATTGTAATTATTAGAAACGAGAAAATCACGTATGAAGGAAAAGTTTCACGATTCCAACAATGTCCGAATAAAATAATCGAATTACAAATTTTAAAATTTCCAAACTTTCCAAACCTTCTCGACATTGTAACTCTGCAATTTAAATGAAAAAAAGAAAAAATCCTACAAGAAACATAGATTGAAACTCGACTCAAGCTCGTTGTTAAATCGGACAAACGATTTTTCCTTAACAACTGGAATATCTTGGACTGGAAAATCTGTGAAATCTAAGATAAAAGGGATCCACTTGTCTCTCGACAAGATACAATGGAAGCGTAGAGAAGCGAGACGGAAAATCATACAAACTTCAAGAGAGGGTGGGATTAACTGCACAAGCAGGAAACGACGTCACGGGCAGGAAGGCACGAACGAGACAAGTCAGAAATTGGATGAAATGCATCACGTTTCTACCTATACCTCTACCTGCAGTGGAATGAGACGCCGATTGGCTCTCGGTTGTCGAGGACGTCGCGCTGGTGTTCGCGTTCCCTGTCCAAGGTTTCTTCCTCGACAGATAACCCTTTTTGAACAGCATGTCCTGACGGGGTGTCGTGATCCTCGTGTACTCGTCCTCGTTGAAGATAATCTTGGGCTGGGACGGTGAACCGCTCGTATCGTCCTTGTGCCGTGCCGCGCTACCGGCGTACGCGCCACCATCGCTACTTCCGCTTCTACGCGGCTTGTATCCGCTCTGCCGACTAAAGCTGTGCGTGTTCGTCTCATTCTCCTGCCCCTTCAAGAATCCATTCCGTAATCCGTCTTCTTCGTCCTCTTCGCCGGGTGGAGCTGCAAATCGAATCGAACAGATGTGATTCATATTCCATGCTAATTTTTTTCTTTTTCTTTCATGATTCGAACGAAATGATGAATAGTATCGAGTAACGAGGTTGGCTGAGAGAAAAAGAATGGCTATGCACCATTTCTTTTATTATCAGGATATATTTTCTCTTGTTTCTTAATTTTTATTAACTTTGTAACAAGAATACGTTGTCTTGTCTTCCCTCGTATTTTATATACGTAAATGAACGTATACGTATAATACGATTGAAATTTAAAACGATATTTTATCATCGTTCGAAATTATAATTGATTAAACTATATTATTTTGTGCTGCGTATATAAAATAAAAATTAATCGGAATCGGTATTAATTATAATCTCTCCTGTTAAATTTGTACGTATGCATTCGAATAATTTAAAATTATCTAACGCTGTGATATACAATACAATGTTAAGTTTCTCAAGATAACATATATATATATATATATATGTACATGTACCTTTAATTTCACGGTATATTTTAATTATTTCAAAGCGAGACGGAAAATTAATAAGATGGATCAAAACGGATTCTATGAGTCTTACATATGATCTCTTACATTCAAATTTCAATTTTTATTACAAAATAATTTCAAAATAATATTAGTTATCGTTGTAAATTTGAACTATTTTTTATAATTGAACATGTTGAAATATATATTTCAAATTTGAATGTTGTTTCCATCTCTTCAATGAAGATTTTGATACGTAAAAAGAAAAAAGAAAAAAAAAAAAAGAATATAACAAATAGTTTTTTACATTAAGGGAAGCACATTATATAAATAATTATTGATCGATCCAATATTTAACTGAGTTAAACTCGATTATATATTTTTCAAAAAGAACGTAGTGGATAGTTTGATCGATGAATTTAATAAATACTTATTAAAGCCATAAGAAAGTACACTGAACGATTTCACAAGCAAAAAAGAACAAGATGGTTCAAGTACCATCGACTCAAATTACACAGGAATTTGTCATCCGAGTGCAATGGTGTTCGCTATCCACAAACAAATCCTCTTGTATTGGAATGTACATACTATTGGTGGTGTTTGAAAGTAAAGGATCGAAGAAGTCTCATTCAATGGTTTTCAATCGGGTACATTATTGTTCAAAAGTTTGGATTTAACGCATATAGACGGAAATGTCTACTATGTATATACCAGAAAAAAAGGAATGGAATAAATTGAAAATACAAAGTTTTTCGATATCGGATTTTTAAATAAATTTTAAATACGACTATTGATCCTTAAAAATTTAGATCCTTTTCTTTTTTTTAGCATAAAATGATTAATTGTTAGAAAATTTCTCAATTGAGATATATAATTATTAGAGAGAGTTTGAAAATTTGCATTTAATTATTGATAATAATTAATTAAATAACAAGTTGCGCGATGGTTCAAAAACGCGATAGGGGTATAATATGCTTGCAATAAATTTAATCTTCTATAATAAGAATTCAGAATTTTTTTTTTATCTTAATTTGAAATTTGAGAATATAATATAATTTTGATAAATAAATTAATCGATACAATAATGTAGATATATCGAATACGATAAAATTCTAATTTTTAATTAGAATGCTTTTAATTAAAATTTCAATAATAGTTTTCTAAGCATATCTCGAGATGATGCCTCTTCATTCTGATGACTTAAAAATAAAACGTGATATTTATAAGTGAATAATAATGCGACCTATGTTTATGCGACGTGATAAATGTATCTTACATCATCTTGTAGTCCACTAATCTCTAATTCTGAAGCCCTGTGTAATTATAAACTACAATTTAAAATGTCTGAAAACTTTCGAATGATAGATATTCCGTGTAAGATAGTTACGTCATCTATTATTTCCTTCTTAACACCTTCTTTTAGAGAGAACATTCTTTTCATCATAATATATTTCAATCAATTATTTCTGACATATAATAATCTCCATATTTATCATTGTATTTTATGATTCAGATATCTGGTGATGTATCATTACAAATATAAATTATCGTAAAATTATTATGTTTATTGAAAACCTTATTATCGATACGATCTGTAAAATTTCCGATGAACGGATCATCGAATAATTTGATACGATAAATAGATAAGAATAAAAATAAAAACACCACCAAGTAAATTCTTTCATTAAATTTCTTCAATAAAATGAACTTTTTGAAGATGAAAAAATCATTACAATTAATTGTAATATTTAAGCATGATATTATAAAAAAAAAAAAATATTTCTTTCGTTTTAATTTTAATTTACCATTTCAAACCAACTTGTTTATGTTATAAGGCATTTTATATCTATATATACCAATCAAATGATAATTTTTAAGTTATAAATAATTATAATAGAAAACATTCACGAGATTCGATGTCGAGGAATGCTGATACAAATGCATTGCAATTATTAAATGCCATAATTAAGAATCAATACTGATTTCACAACATGTACATATATTTTTTTCTTTTTTATAATTATCATTTATAAATATATATATATTTTTGACACTTAAAAAAAAAAATTACACCAAAGCTATTATTCTTACAATTTAATTTTAATTTATTTAATTATATTTATGTAAATAAGAATACAATAATCAAAATTTGTTTAAGAAAACATTTATAGTAAAATTTCGAGATCAAATTTTAATATTTCATTAATGATTCTTATCTACTTAGATTCTTCTCTCTTATCACAATAATGTGATAATAAGACAAGTAAAATGAAATTTCAAATGAATATTTAATAATATTATAAAAATAATATTGAAAAAAAAGTCTATAATATAATACACAAACGACGTAGGATTATAAAAGGATTCTATTAATTATATAAATTTTTTCCTAAACAAATTTGAATAAATTTGAATTTTATGTATCGATAAACCAATACTACATTAAATATACTAGAATTATTAAGATAAAAAAACATTTATAAAACTGTATTACTTCCCCCCCCCCCCTCCCCCCTCCCCCTCCCCACAATATATATCCAAAACATGAAATATGCAAAATCAGTTTGAGATCACAAAGATTACAAAAGTAAAAAAAATCAAAAAACAAAACAAAAAAAAAAAAAAAAAAAACAACTTAACTTACTTAAATATGTCTAATTTTCTAACGTGATTAAGCTTCTACAGACTAAACTTCTAATTGGTGAAACTAAGCGGGCACTAATGCTTTCAATTTTCTCCACAATGATAAAACTAAACGATTGATTCTCCTTCGATTGTGCAATTTTGTTCTATTTTACTAGCTAACAAAATTATCCATATTTTTATCTACTCTACGACATTAATTCTACTAAATCGTGACTGGTCATGGATCGAACGGAGCGTGTGCGATATTCTTTTAATCGAAATTATATATATAAAATATATGTAATTTATTATACCGTAAAATGAGATGAATAGAAATAATAGCGGGAAAAAAAAATAAGAAGCAAATGAAAGCAAATAATTTATTGTTTCAAAGAAAAGTAAATTTGTATAGTAAATTTGTTAAATTTAAAATTAATTTTAAATATTTTTCTTTCATTTTACTTTTGTGTACTCAAAATTAAGGAAAATAAGATAGCTGTTGATCACAATTATGAGTTTTATTGTTGAAAAATTGATATAAAACTAGACGTTTCTAAAATTCAATTGATTTCAATTTTCTGTTAAATTCTTCATGGAAGAATAAATTTACGTGAAAATTTTAAAAATTTTAAAAGATTAATTAAAAAAATACAATATCGATTTATTCTTGTTTTAAATAGAATTACTTTTTAAAATTAATTCTCTAAAATAATTTTTCTTCTATATAGAAATAGTATATTTATTTTCCCGAAAAAAAAAAAATAAAATAAAAAAGAAATTTCATACGAATTCACTAATAAGATTATTCATATTAATCATTGAATCATCGAATATACGTAATAATTTCTTAATTTTTTCGAATTTATTACGAGTATTTTATTTTCCAATTTTCTAAAAGAAGATAAGATCGAACAGTTATAAAAAAAATTTTATATACATTTAGACATATCCATGCATTTCGCAATAATATTTAAAGTATTTTTTTAAAAGCTAAATTTATACATGTGAGTATAATATATTAGAACAGAAAAAAACGTGGCATCGAAACATAATAAGCAGAATCATTATATTAATAACTTCTGAACGAGAGTGGGCGAGATTTATTCACTTTAATTAACAAAAAGGGAAACGAAGTGTATTTTTATATAGAAATAATATTTCTATTCACCCCTTTTTACGGTAAATTATCATCTGAAAAGAGATCATAGCTCGGTTACACAATTATTGTTCATCAACCAATATTATCAGAGATCGACGACGAAACAAGTTGACAAATTAATATTTTGTAATCCTGCAATTTTATTTTCTAATTTCCCCGATAAAAATTTTAAATTGACGTCCATTCGTTTGTGTATAATTCTTCCCGTTACGTAAGAAAATTTATATTATATTAGCATCACGGAAACACGTAACTTGTAACTAAACACCGACCGTTCAATATTGCTAATAATATTAGTTGAACGGTGTGTGTGCGTGTGCGTGTGTGTGTAAGAGAGCCTTGAATATAATAGAAAAAGCATGGAGGAAGCTCTTCGCTAGGGACCATGATCAGTCTCTTCCACAGAATTTCCGTACCGTCTTGGTACCTCGCTAAAAGTAGAACGTGATTCGAGGAGCCGATCACGTGGATAACCCTTCGTTGCCGGCGCCACTGCATTTCTGTCCGCGCCCTCTACGTTGGCCGCCTTCCTCCCGAAATCCTCCTTTCCACCCTTCCTTCCCGGTGTATATATCGTACACTACCAGTCAGTCACCCTAGTCTCTCACTCCAACTTCACACTTTGTTCCTCTCTTTCTCTCCTTCCCTCCTTTTTCTCTTCTTAACAAGAAGAAGAAAGAAAAAAAAATGAAAAAGAAAAAAAAAATTGAAACTGAACGAGAATGAGAAAGA